GAGCTCAATGAGCTGCTGTATGTTTTTGTTTTGGTTGGACAAGCCATTCCTGATGTTTTCTAGCAGGCATCTCTTCAATTCAAAAATGGCCTCGCTGTACCCCAAGCTCACAGCAGCCATGGGCGGGGCTCCATGCCACAGGCCTGGAACGTGCCAGACATGCTGCCTCTCGGGGTCGCAGAAGGCCAGGCCCGCCAGCGTCCGGAAGCCACCACTCTGCTTTTCCATTTGGGCGGCAGCTCTGCTCAGGTCGCCGGGTGGATCCAGGAGCTGCCTCCTCTCTCTCGGCTTGGGGCTGGGGGCAGGCACATCATGAAGGCTCTGGTATACAAACTGACAGTTGGGCATGTGCCCTGTTTTTTCCAACCTCAGAAATGCATGGAGAATCGCTGATGGAATGTCCCTTGTTTCAGCTAAACTGACCACAGTGACGTTGCTCAGCCCCATGAGCAGAGTGGCTAAGGAAGCCTCCAGCTCAAACCTGTCCCCTGCCGAGGCCAAGGCCCCACTGATCAGTGCCCCAGAGTCAATGGCCAGGATGTGGTCACAGCCCAGGTCCTGGCTGAAGCCTTCGGCCACAGTGATGAGCTGCATGAAGGCCCCCCGGGGACTGCAGCTCCTCCCCGTGGCAAACCGCAGGCCAAACATGGTGTTGAGAAGTGTGGATTTTCCTGTTCCCGGCACCCCCAGGGCAGACAGGACCACCAGCCGAGACCTCCTGTCCAGGCGGGTGTGCAGCTCCTTGAGCAGCCCCGTGACCCAGCGCACTGGGATGCTCAGGGTGCCCCCGTCAACCAGCTCCAGGGGCAGTCCCGCCAGCAGCAGCTCAGCAGCCAGGCCTGGGAAGTGAGCGAAGCGCCTCTGGCCAGCTGGCAGCCTGCCGGCCTCCACTAGGCAGCTCTCGGCCTCATAGAACTGCCCCATCTCCCGTAGGAAGTGCTCCACGCCCAGGGGCTCTGGCCAGAGTGGCTCGCTGAAGTCTGAGGCCCCTCCAAGCTTCGGCCTCAGTGCAAGGAGGGATTCTGGGGGCTGCCTCAGCCTCGGCTGGCCCACCCGAGCCAGCCCCCACTCCATCCACCTCAGGAAGTACTGCCGCTCACCCGCGGAAGGGCTGCTGATGCCCACGATGAAGTCCTGCAGCCCTGTGGAGGGCTCCTGGGCACTCTGCTGCATCCGGAGCTCCAGCAGCCGCCGCCTCAGCTCTCCACGGTGCTTCTCGGGCGGCTCCGGGGCCCACTGGAGCTGGCAGAACTCCCTCTCCACCTGCGCGGCCTTCCGCCCCAGGTCGCCCTGCAGCCGCAGCTCTTCCCGCCGGTAGGCATCCACGTCCCTGATCTTCCTGGTGATTCTCTCCATCCGGTCCTTCGCCTTCTGACACTCCTCGCAGTCCTCATCGATGCGGAGGCCCAGTTTGCGGGCTGCGTGCGCCATGTCCTCCACCGACACCCTCCTGCAGGGTCCCCTTGCCACGCTGCCCACGATGGCGCGCAGCCTCTTCACGAAGCCCTCGCTGTCGGTGCTGCTGACCTTCACCAGGACGTGAGAGTGGTCTATCTTCAGCACGGGGGTCAGTCTGTTCAGGAAGCGCAGGTTTGTGTTCCGCTTCCCCCGATAGGGACTCAAGATGAAATAGTACTTTGTAGTTGACTCCTTCATGGAGCACAGGAGTTTGTACTCCTTCTTACTGATGTTGTCAGTCAGGATAAATACAGCCGAGGAGATTTCTGTCAGGAGCTTAAACTGCAGCCAGTGAGAGCCAATGTCGCCCCTCAGGTTCAAAAAGGCCACGGGCTCTGGGAAAACGTCCAGGTCCTCCTTGCCACTGGGGAAAAACCAGGAAATCTCTACCAAGCCATCTGCGATCTCCCGGGGGTTGGTGCCCAAACTGAGGTCCCGGTGCCAGAAGCAGTCCCACTGCCGGCGGCCCGGACTGAGGATGGCGTTGAGCAGCTGGGACTTGGAGTTGCTGCTCACATCCATGCGCACAAAGGCAAAGGTGGGCACCCTGGACAGGACCACACTGTCCTCTCGGAAGCTTCCCAGGCCCCGTGGCGTCTGGGACCACCACGTCCGCATAACGCCCCGCAGGGCCCACAGCAGGAAGGTATGGTAGTGGTTTTCTGAGTCTGGCAACACAAGTGGAAGTGCAAACTGGCAGAGGGACATCTTCAGGATGATCTCTTGCTGCAGAAAGTTGTCTGAGGAGAGCAGGAGGGCGCACAGGAGGTCCAGGGGGTTCACTGGCGTGTCGGGCGTGGGCAGCTCCGAGAAGGAGTAGATGTCGTCAGCAGCAATGTCCTCGGCTGGGTCCCAGTAGATCATCTCCTCCTCCATCTGACTCTCCTTCTCCACCGGCCGGGCATCTGCAGGCATGTCCAGCACCATGGTGGTATTCCTGGCTTCGGCATTGAGGGCCTGCAGCTTCCTGAGGAAATGCCAGGGCAGGTCCTTGGGAACCTGAGGGGCCCAGTTCTTCATGCTGTCAAAACTGATCTGCAGGGAGTCCTGCAGGCTGAGCCTCTGCCCCTGGTAGGCCTCCAGTCCCAACAAGGACAGCATTTCCTGCAGCCTGCTTCTCTCCACTGTGGGAAGAAACAAGAGAGGTGAGTGCTCAGCATGCGTTCTCGAGTCGGGGCCAGGCCAGAGCTGGACAGGGCGAGCCCAGCAGGAGGGGTGAGAGGACATCCTCAGAACGGGACCCCTGGGCTGACCCAAGATCAAGGAAAGGAGTGCAGCCCTCCACCAGGGTAACTACCAGCAAACACAGGTGTGTGTGGCACTTCAAAGGGAGAAAGAAAAGAAACGCTCCCCACAAACTAAAGAACCACACTTATGAATTGGTAGAATTCATGTAAAAGCACTGATTTCTTATTTCTTTAGAAACCTGACAGATCTAACACTGAGACCAAGACCAACTGGATAGAGTGAGTGGCACAGGCCACCAGGTGCTGAGTGCAGCCCCCAACCCCCACCCAGGCCACCCGGAGCCCCCATGCTCTGAGCCACACTCTATCCCAGCACGGTGCTCTCTCAGTGTCACCAGGAAGCTTACACAGAGGCACACTCACAGCTCACTCTGGTTTTCTAGTTAAGGTTCTTTTGCCTTTGTAAATAAGCTGGAGAATATTTTAAAGGAAAATAGTAAGATATCACTAAGCATAGTCAACAATCGTAGTTCAGCAACATTTTGCAGATTTGACACCAATAATACAATTTTTGACAGTAGTAAAATATGCGGTGCAAAGTAAGTATACATTTACTTGTTCTAATAGTCCAGGATCACCCTACATGATAGAAAATCTCACATGAGATGCTCAGAGCGACATCACTACCACCGCCCCAGGTCTGGACCTGACAACTTAGCAACGCTCCTGCTGCATATAATTAGCTCACTTTAAATGTTAAGGCACACAGCAAGTGAGTGCAAGTCTAACTGAGCACCAGGCCCTCCTCCAGTTCCTCTCAGGAGAGGAACCAACGTGTGTGATGCCACCTACTCACTCAAGCAAATCTTAGCAGACCCTGGTGAATCCAGCCCTTCTCTTGTTCCCCGAGATTCAGATTCAGATCACTCCCCAAGCAACACACGGGACCCACAGCCCCAGACACTGGGCTCAGAGAGTCCTACAGCTCCACAGTACCACGGTACAGGATGGCTCCCAGAGCACAGGGCCCGTGAACCTGCTGCACACAGCAACGGCTGCATGGGAAGCAGAGCTGGGGGTGCAGATGCCTGCACAGGATTCCTTGGAGTTCCCAGCTCTGCCTGAATGACACAAGGGGTACAGTTTTTCTTGTTCAGAGAATGAATACCTATTTTTATTGTTAGGTAACATGGCAATAAAATGCAGCGGGGGGGAGCCAGAGCAAGAAATCCCATTTGTGTATGCACCTGTGCCTGCAGGTGGCCCTCCACAGGCTGCCTGGGAACCTGGGGTTCAGATTTCCGACCTGCAAGTGATGCCATCAATCACATGAAGGTTTCCAACCCTGGCTGTGCACCAGAACGACCTCAGGGACTTGTTAGAAAGAGAAGACACTAACGCATCATGGCAGCAGGTGTGCTGGGGAACTGTGCCTACTCCTGGGGTTTGGTTTTTAGGGCAGCCTAGATCTGAGCACCCTGCCTCCTCAGGACTTGATGCAGCAGCTCTAAGAACCACCAGCCTTCAGCTGTCCCCTCCACACAGGAAGCCGCAACAGAGAGAGGAAACGTACCTGTGGGGAAGTCATTGTCCTGAGCCTCATTCGTACCATCTACAAGCAAAGCAGAGGAAAATGAGGTGTCGACCTAATAGTGCACCTCTGACTGACACAAAGTAATTTAAGCTAAACTCAAAGCACTCCTTTCTTACCAAAATAGCAACTTCTCTTAATTGTTACAATTATAAAATCCTGGTAATTCTTCATTTTTCCCATTCCCTCTCCTTCCCCATCCCAGCTGGTGTCAGTCCCATAGTTTCTACCTCCATAATGGAACCCACAGTCATCTCCTTCCATTTCTCTCCATTCCAAATCTAGAAGGAAAGAACACAGGCATTTAGTTTCACCAGGAAGTGAGAGCCTTTCTATCAGAGCTCAGGTGCCACTGTTCGCACCACAGGCTGAGTATTCCTTTAACCCAAGGAACACTGAGCTTCATTCCCATCCATCCCTTTATATTTTCACTTTGAAATATGGTCTTGTGAAGTTGTCCAGGTGGGCTTTGCACCTGGAATCCTACAGTTTCAGCCCCCTGAGTATAGTAGCTGGGATGACAAACATGAGCCATCCCACCTGGTAAGCTGAGAATTCCTTATCTAAAATGCTCAAAGGGGGCTGGGGATTTAGCTCAGCGGCAAAAGCGCCTGCCTGGCAAGTGCAAGGTC